CAAAATAAAAAAAACCCCAAAAAAAAAAAAAAAAAAACCACACTCACACACACAAAACTTAGCCAGGCATCATGGCACACGCCTGTAGTCCCAGCTACTTGGGAGGTTGATGCAGGAGGATTGCATGGGTCTGGGAGGTTGAGGCTGCAGTGGGCCATGATGGCACCACTGCATTCCACCCTGGGTGACACAGCAAGACCCTGTCTCAAAAAATAATAATAATAATTCAAGAAAGTAGATTTGACCCACTGGATTCCCTATAAGAGTTCTTCCAAAGTAAAGTTTTGAACCTCTCAGGGGTCAGCAGATCACACCTTGAGAGCAGCTTCCTAGTATATTTTCAATTATTCTGATTCAAACCCATTGCATTTTAGGTGAGAATTGTATCTGGCATAGTTAGGCTTCTCTAAGTGAGGCTTGCAAACGAGTTACTGTGCCTGGGCAGAGGGCTAGTAGATGAGCTGGATCGCACCTTCCTGGGGGGCGTGGCTGCGGCCTGGGGGAGTGAAATGTGCACGTAGTCGTCTGAATGACAGAGCGGGGCTGGAGGAGGAGAGGTTGCTGGGGTTCCTAGAGGAGTTCCTTTTCCACCTGGTCAGAGACAAAGGCAGAACATATATGAACGCTGAGCCCAACTATTAGAACAACGGCCAATTTTTTTTAGCCTATTACTATGAATAAAGCTGCTAGAGTTAACTTTCTGGGGATCGAGAGCAGTCTCTCTTTGTTTTTCGGTTCACTTTACACATGCTGAAAGCCCCAGGGATTTGCAGTAGGTGTTAAAAATAAGTTTACAACTGCAAGTGGCCCCTTAGATCTAAAGGAGAGCTCCTCCTGCTATTAAAGGCAGCCAAAACCAACGAATCTAATCAACCTAAGACATACATACCAGTTGTACCAAAGACTTTACTGTAAGGGTGTGACAGATCAGGTGGGACATTTCCAGGAGAAGTTGGAGGAGTGGTCATACCACAAACCATAGATGGGCTCCAAAGAGTAGCCTGGGAAGTTAATAAAGTGCATCAGCAGTGGCAAAGGAATGCTAAGTCATCCACAAGGTTTCTATCCATGGCCAGTGTTCAGTTTAAATTTAGCTTTTTCAACTAGAAAAAGGCATCTTATTAAAAGTTTATCAAGAAACAAGTTGCAGTTTGTGAATCAAGACTTCAAGATGAACCTAAGAGGCAACGGTAACTTTCTTTGCTAATACCATGGGTCCTTAAAAGTGACTCCTGAAATGAGCAGTATGAAATTTTCCCAACCACATACTAAATCTGACCCAGAGGGTCAGCTTCACCAGAAAGCAGAGGACAGAGCAGGCACACTAGTTGACACCATACTTGTGGCGGTTCAGTTATCAACCGTGTCGATGGGGAACTCAGAGTCTGAGGTAGCTGCCCTGGCGTATTTAACAATGTCAGCCGAGAAGTGGAGTAAGGGGTAGAAGTAGCACTCCCTAAAACGAAAGTGAAGAACACAGGCGGTTAGTGTGTGGTTTTAGATTATGCTGATTAAAAAAAAAAAAAAAAAAGACGGTCCTCTAGACCATTTGATAATATTCAATTCTCTGAATCTAAAAAATGTGAGGGACTTATTGACATCCTTGAGGACAAAGTAACAGTTCAGAGTTTCTTGAAATGCTCCTTTAAAATAAAGTTCAATAAGGTTTGATGTCTAGTTAAGCCTCAGGATAACCATAACATGGATGACAACTTCAGTGGGTGTGACCCGCAAATAAAGACTACATTTTTATATGAATCCAATTCTACACTGTTCAGACTCATTCAGATTGCGTCGGTGCCACGGCCAAAAGAGCCCCACTCTAAGTGTCTGAAATTTAAAAAGATTCCCTTAAGAGGGGAGTATGGAAATCAAATACTTGAACCCATTTTCTTTGTTAAGTGTTGGAGACACGTTACCAACTCTGTTGGCATACAATCAGGCAGGAGACCAAGGACATCTAAATTAAACTTGAAGGAGAAATTAATCAGAAGAAAATGGAGGCAAATGCAAATTTAAACTATTTTGGGAAAAATTCCTAGGAACTGAACTAAGTCTTACTCAAGAAAAGAAAGTCAACAAAGACAAATGTTTTCCAGAGACAAAGCTGCAAAACAGAGAAGTACCAAAGATGCTTTTTTTACCGTAGCTATTCTGTGTGTCAACATAAGGGCTGGCGGTGACTTCAGCTGAACGATGAGGAAAACGGGCTGAGATTTGGTGAGACACAGAATAGCCATCTTCATACGAGGCTTCTGTGGGATCCAGAGAGATTTTGGCACACTCGATTACAACATCATGAGTTTCTAATCTCTTCCACCTGTAAAAGGCAATGAATGTCAAGAAATGCAAACTGTAATTAAATACTTCAGAGTTCAGAGTGTCAACTCAGTGCCAGCCACGGAACTCTGATAGCAAAGAACAAGCAGGATCATGCCAGCCCAAGTCTGAAACAATTCTAGTACATAAAGAAATAGCCATTTATTTTACAATCCTATACCTTCCCCGTTTAAAATGGTTATATCAAGTTAACAATCTAATCTGAAACCAAAATTTCCTCAACAAAAGACTAGGCATAGCCTCAAAATGGAACAGCAGAACATAAGCGATGCAGTAGAGCAGCCAGCAGGGAAAAATGTCCTTTGGAACAGAGGTCATCAAAAAATAAGGTTTTCCTATCAAGGCCTCAGGTGTCAAATCCATCCCTAGATCAGAAAGAGTATAAAAGACAAACCAGAGAAAGCCCACAAGGATTTTTTTCTTTTTTTAGAGATGAGGTCTCACTCATCACCCAGGTTGGAGTGCAGTGGCATGATCATGGCTCACTGCTGCCTACAGCTCCTGGGCTCAGGGATCCTCCTGCCATAGCCTCCCAAGTAGCTGCGACTACAGGCATATGACACCATGCCTGGCTAATATGCTTACAAAAATGGGTCTCACTTTGTTGCCCATGCTGGTCTCGAACTACTGGCCTCAAATGATCCTCCCACCTTGGCCTCCCAAAGTGCTGGGATTACAGGCATGACCCACTGTGCCCAGCTGAAGCATGATTTTTTTAAACCAACTTTAGTATGGCATAATTTGCTTACAATAAAATTAATTTTGCTAAGTTTTGACAAAAGTTGTAAACATAATAGAACATTTCTATCACCCCAAAATTTCCTTTGTGCCCTTTGTGGTCAGTCTCCTCCCCCACTTCTGGTAACCATCGATCTGCTAAAAGCATGCTTTCTCAGGTAGTATAATAGTTATTCTACAGAATAGACCCCTTTGGTTGAACTTTGGGTTATTTCTTCTTTCCACTGCAAGCTGTGCTGTGCTGAACACTGTTGTATGTGTTGGTGAACATCTGTTTCTATAGAAGTGAGCCACGGTGCCGGTCTCCCATGAGGATTTTTTTTTTTTTTGAGATGGAGTCTCGTTCTGTCGTCCAGGCTAGATAGTGCAGTGGTACAATCTTGGCTCACTGTAACCTCCACCTTCTGGATTCAAGTGATTCTCCTGCCTCAGCCTCCCAAGTAGCTGGGATTACAGGTGCCCGCCTCCATGCCCAGCTAATTTTTTGTATTTTTAGTAGAAGTGGGGTTTCACCATGTTGGCCAAGCTGGTCTCGAACTGCTGACCTCAGGTGATCCACCCACCTCCGCCTTCCAAAGTGCTGGGATTATAGGTGTAAGCCACAGTACCTGGCCGAGGGTATTTTAAAAACTGTCTAAAGATTCCTTTTATGCGATCTGCAGTTTCACTTCTAAGAATTTATCCTACAGAAACAGACACATGTCAAGACATACAACAATGTTCAGCACAGCACATCTTTCAATGAAAAAAAGAAAGGAAATAACTCAAAGTTCAACCAAAGGGATATAGTTTATAGAATAACTATTATTATATCACCATGAAAAAGCATGCTTTTAACAGATCAATGGTTGCCCGAAGTTGGGGAAGAGAATGACCACAAAGGGCACCAAGGAACTTTTGGGGTGACGGAAATGTTCTTCATTATGAATGAGACTTTTGTCAAAACTTAGCAAAATTGGTTAATTTTACTGAAAGCACATTATGCCATACTAAAGTTGATTTTAAAAATCATGCTTAAGGCCAGGTGCGGTGGCTCATACCTGTAATGCCAGCATTTTGGGAGGCCAAGGCAGGCAGATCACTTGAGGCCAGGAGTTCAAGACCAGCCTGGGCAACATAGCGAAACCCCAACTCTAAAACAACAAGAACAAATGAGCCAGGCATGGTGGCCTGCACCTGTAATCCTAGCTACCTGGGTGGCTGAGAGATGAGAATCATTTGAACCTGAGAGGCAGAGGTTGCAGAGAGCCAGGAAGGTGCCATCACACTCCAGCCTGAGCAACAGGGCTAGACTCTGAAAAAAAGGAAAAAAAAAATAATGCTTTCAGCTGGGCACAGTGGCTCACACCTATAATCCCAGCACTATGGGAGGCCAAGGCAGGAGGATCATTTGAGGCCAGGGGTTCAAGACCAGCCTGGGCAAGTGAGACCACACCCCACCTCCACAACAACAAAAAATAGCTGGGTGTGGGCATGTGCTTATGGTCCCAGCTACTCAGGAGGCTGAGGTGGGAGGACAGCTTGATCCTGGGAGGTTGAGGCTGCCATGAGCCATGTTTGTGCCGCTACACTCCAGCCTGGGCAACAGAGCAAGACCTTATCTCAAGAAAAAAAATCATGTTTTCCATGTGCCTGTACTCTCAGCAACCAGGGAGGCTGAAGCAGGAGGATCACTTGAGCCCAAGAGTTCGAGGTCAGCCTGGGAAACATAGCAAGACTCTGTCTCAAAAAAATAATAATGCTTTCAAACATTAAATGACATAAAATGCTTGTAATATAATCTTAAATGAATAAAAGATACAAAACTATTCAGAGACACATCCGCAAATAGATCTGAGTGTAGTAAGTATTCAAATTAAAAGAACTGAGGTTATGAACAATGTTCATTTCTTCTTTCAACTCTTTAGTATTTGCCAAACATCTATAAAGGCCCTAATAATTAACAGAATATTTAAAATATAAACGCCTAGTCAAATATAAACTTTTTTCTTTCAGACAACATAACTTTGCTCTATGTCTTTGTAAGTGGTTGGAAACTCCAACAGAGATTTGCATTTTTTTTCCCCAAGTTTACAGAAAACAGCAAAGCTACACTGAAGGGCATTCCGTAGGTTTACCTTAAGAAAACATATGACCCTACACAACTGTTGTAGAAAGCTCATTATATCTTAGATGCTAAAAACATGGCATTAAATACAGAAAAGGAGGTGTCCAGGGCATGGGGAGAATACAAGGCATCTTCCCTAGGGAGCGAGTCTTTCCGTTTCAGGGCTGCATCTTCATTCACTACCTGGGTTTTCACTGCCTGTGGGATTGTGTTAATGGGGATAGACTCCTCTGTATGCATTCTCAGCATGACTAGAAAGTGATTAAGTGAGAGCAGGCATCCGGACACATATGTACACATAAGAAGATTGATTTTAGAGAAGAAAATGAGAATCATAATAAAAGAGGAATACATTTAAATGTTTTATTTTAATCAAAGTAATTTATGCACTTACAGTATTTCCCTGATTCTTAAAACGGCTTTTCAGATTTTAATATCTAAAACTGGGAACCACAGTCTAATCAAATGCATGTTAGTTTACTTGGCATTTTTTTCTTTCTCAGATGTATATAAAATAGAAGAACACCACATGTCTAATGGTATCTTAGATCCAATGAAATACGGCAGTTTAAAAAGTCAGTATAGTACTAAAGGTTCTTCCCATTCCTCCCCACTGCAACCACTCTGGCAGCTGCTTCCAATTCTGTTAGCTGAATTGTTATCCTACCTCTGTATTTCTAAAGAATACAACCTATGCTTTTAATTTCTTGATTTATAAATTATAGATAGCTTTTATTAACTTACTATTATGGGAAGTAAGGACTGAGATCTCCTCCCTATATCCTTTCCCTTCTCCTCAATGTTCTCAAAAGAAAAATGTAATTGTTGGCCGGGCGCAGTGGCTCACACCTATAATACCAGCACTTTGGGAGACCAAGGCGGGCGGATCACAAGGTCAGACTTTCAAGACCAACCTGGCCAACATGGTGAAACCCTGTCTCTACTAAAAATACCAAAAAAATTAGCTGGGCACGGTGGTGCGTAACTGTAATCCCAGCTACTCAGGAGGAGACATGAGAATCGTTTGAACCAAGGAGGCAGAGGCTGCAGTGAGCCAAGTTCATGCCACTGCACTCCAGCCTGGAGGACAGAGTGAGATTCCGTCTCAAAAAAAAAAGAAAGAAAGAAAGAAAGAAATATGTAACTGTTTTTGTTGTTTTCAAAACTGATTTCCACAATTATTATGACTGCCTAAGTACTACTCTTGGCTGAGCCACAGAGTATACCATAATAATATTTCCTTTCTTGTAAGTCTTAATTCTTCTGTTTCTTTTCCTCACTTTTTTGTGTGTTTACTGCTAATTTTTACTAAACATATCCTAATAGCTCTGAAACAATGCCTAATATAACTTTTACTACTGAAATGCAAAGAATCCACCAGGATTATTCCTCACCTTCCTGAAGAACTCCCTTCTGACACACTCTGTCCCCAGCTAAGTCTGGATTGGCTGCTTTCCACACTGCTGAGCAGCTGTTATCCTAACACTTTCCCTGTACATGATCCTGTAAAAGGATCATGATCAGGCCCCAGGCTCCTGGATTCTGTCTTCCTCCTTCTTGATTTTACTCTCATTTTGGTGGAATGCATGCTCCAGTGTTTAACTGAGGAAGGATATATGGGAAGGAAATTTGAGTCCATACATTCTAAAAGTGTCTCATATTTGATAGACAAGTTGGCTGAGTACAGAATTATAGTGGAAACCTCTTTCTCTCAATTTTGAAGGTATTTCAGAAGCTAACAGCACTCTGGTTTCTGATGCTTATTAATGTGATTTTGTTTTTTTCTTTCTCTGAAAGGTTAATCCCTCATAGTTTAAAGTTGTACAATATTGAGAACTGGTGGCATTCTTTTTTTNCTTGTTGCCCAGGCTGGAGTGTAATGGTGTGATCTCGGCTCACTACAACCTCCACCTCCCAGGTCCAAGTGATTCTCCTGCCTCAGCCTCCCAAGTAGCTGAGATTACAGGCGCCTGCCACCATGCCCAACTAATTTTTTGTATATTTAGTAGAGATGAAGTTTCATCATGTTGGCCAGGCTGGTCTCAAACTCCTGACCTCAACTGATCCGTCCTCCTCAGCCTCCCAAAGTGCTGGGGTTACAGGCGTGAGTCATCGCACCTGGCATTAAAACTTTTTTTTTTTTAATTGGATGTTGGGACTTCCTGCACTGATTATTCTAAATTTCTATTCTGCTCATATTATCCAGCTCTATCCTTTGGTCTGCTTTCTGAGATATTTATGTATATCTCAGAAAGCTGATATCTGAGATATCAACTTTATCTCCCAATTCTTTTACTGAAATGTTTATTTTGGCTATCACTTTTAATTTTGAAGAATTCTTTCTTTAGCTTCAAAATGGTCTTTTTCTGTGGCATCCTGATCCTTACATATGCACAAATGCCTTATCTCTGTGGCTACTGTGGACATTTTCTTCTGCTCTGTCATTATAGTTTTGTTCTAGCTCTTTCCTCCTCTTTATGTTGGTGTCTGTCTTTAGTGTTAAAACCTTCCAAAGTCAAACCTTCCAAACTCTGCCTAGCCAAGGTGAGTGAGGCTCTCTATAAGCTAAATGAAGAAGCTTCCAAGTTAATAGAGTTAGTTGAACATATGCACCCAACTGTACAACCTCCTGGAATCCCACTGTCTGCAGTAAAGGCTTCTTTGTCTTTATTTTTAAACCCAAAAGGAGGAGAACAGGGGAGAGACAATAGCATCATACGTTTTTGAAACTAAAAAGCAGACAGGCAGGTGCTAACTGACACTGCAAATCCATGAAAACAGAATCCTAAGTTGCCGCTGTCTCAAAGTGATTCAACTGACTATACTACAGAATCCTTAAAATCATGAGGAATTTATAGCATCTGGTACTTCTGGAACTGAAATACTGAAAACAGGGTAAAAAACGCTGGAGGAGCAGTCACAGCCCCTGGGTCCTTCCTCAACTCTACACTCCCAAGCAACAGCTCTTTTCTCACCAGAAATCTGGATTATTTTCTAGAGAGAATAAAACAAGGATTGCCTGAATAAGGTATTCCAGAAATAGTTGAGGGCCTGAGTGTCATTCCAAATGAGGGAATTAAGTGAAGCACATATATTCTGAATGCCAAGACCACCAACCCTTCCTCACCATGAGCCTCCTTCCCCCGAGAGGCAATCAGACCCTTAGCTGTCGGGGGATCAGGCCTGGAAATCAGAAGACTGTTTTCTAAAAAATGTGACCAGCTCAAGAAGAAAACAATACCGACACCACTATTTCCAACAGATGCTCAGTTCAACATACGCCAAAGCTCAAAGTCAACAAGTCCCACCGCTGTGAACAAAGCTGTTTTGTCTCCACATATATAAACCGTTTACTAGATCCTTGCAGAAGGCCTCAAAGATTTAAAAAGAATAACACAAAACAGAAAAGAAGGAAGCTTAAAAGAAACAGATTATACAGGGAAAAGAAAACTCCCTATATATGTATACAGTCATATGTCACTTAACAACAGTGATGACATGTTCTGAGAAATGCATCATTAGGCAATTTCATTGCTGTGTGACCATCAGAGTATACTCATACAAACCTAGATGTTATGGGCTCCTCGGCTACAAAACTGTACAGCAAGGTGCTGTACTAAATGCTGTAGGTAACTGTAACACAGTGGTAGGTATTTGTGTGTCTAGATATATCTGAACATAGAAAAGGTACAGTAAAGATGTGGCGGTACAATCTCATGGACCCACTATCATCTATGGAGTCCATCATTGACTGAAATGTCATTACACGGTGCATGGATGAGCTAGATTTCTAGAGGAAAGATAGAGAAAACAGGAAATCAAGAACAAAATGACTTAAGAAAATGTCATAGAACTTAAAGAGCTTCCAGCTTAAACAATGAGAATAGATTCATACCAAGGTACATCACTGGAAATTTCAGAATATTACGACAACGAAGAAAACTCCCTAGCAGCTCCCCTGGAGAAAAACACAGCAAATACAAGCAATCAGAAATTCCAAGAGCAACACTGGAAGCAAGGTGGCAATGGAATATTGCCTTCAAATTACTGAATGAAACTGACTCTTAACCTGTAAGTCTACACCCAGCCAAACAACTGCACCCTTCCTCAAACAGCTCCTGGAGGATATCCGATTAAAACTAGAGTAAACCAAGAAAGATGACAAGATACCAGAAATGGGAGATCCTGCACATGAGAGAGGCGAAGGAAAGCCCCAGGAGACTAGGAAGACAGCTGGGTACTTGGCACAGACAAGAACCAGTTCGGATCAGAACAGACCTGGCAAGAGACAGGGATGTCTCAAGGTTTTTGCTGTCACGCACTATCTTTTTAATGAGGAACAGAGCCTGTAGAACTTGTCTGTACTTTGTTTGTCTTGACTACAAACTGATGAAGTTCCTACTCTCCCTTCTCTGCCTGATCGGCAGAGGACATTCATTTTATCCCACAGAAGGATTCTGTCTGACCTGCTCCTGAGAGCTGGAAGCAGGAACAGAGAGCAGCCTCCCTGCCTGCCATATTTTACGCATGTCCAGTACCTTGCCCTTGCTAGAAGCCTTGCCATACGCTCTGATGAGGGTAAGCCTTGTGTTTCCCAGACTCACTCATGACCTCGTGCACTGACTTCCTAGACGGGGCTGTGAAACCTCAGGGACGGTGAAACCACACCAAAACTCAGACGTGCTGCTCCTCCTCTCATCTCCTGGAAACCTTCAACTACTAGTGACAAGACTGCCCTTCTCTTAGCCAGACTTTGCTTCCTAATCAACTAGCTTTTCAAAACAAAGCAATACATACAGTAAAACTATACAGAAAAGCAAGAGAATGATTCATATAAAAGCAACAATGGCAGTTGCCTCTGAGGTGGTTAAGGAGAAAGAGGAGTTCCATGGGGAGCCTCCAAGGTACTCGTAATGTTCTATTTTTTTAAGCTAGGTGCCAACTACATGTGTTTTTGTGTTATTATTAAACTTCACATACACATTTTCTATACTTCTCTACATATATCTCACCATAAACTGCTTTAAGCTGGCTGAGGCTCTGTGTGGTGGAGGCAGTGTCTGTGGAGAGGTGAGATTTGCTGTCGGGTATCAGGCAGTGAGCCAGCTTTTTCAGCAGGAGATCCCCAAGTGTCAATATCCATGGGTCAGTTTCCCCAAAAAGGGCTGGGTCCCCTAACTGGGGAGCATAAGCCTGGCTACCAGCCAGAGACAAGCAGAGGAAAGGAGGTGGGCCTCCCACAGCTCAGTCTGTAAATTTCCTCTAACTCCCTTGCTCAGTCTCATCCTCAGTTCCACTCTCCACTGTGCCTGGAATCCTCCAATCAAAAGACTCAAAGGTTCAGTTTTCACAGAGAACATACCTGGGGGCCTCTGTAGGGCCCTGGAGAGGATGGTAGTCACCTGTCTTTGTAGAATGGATAAAGTGTCCAAATACTTAATACAGGATTCCCTGAAGCCCTCTCTCCATTCCACAAAGCCAAATTTAATACTAAATTATTTTTCTGCAATCCCTTGTTTTTAGCCATATGCTTCGCCTCCTTCATCACCCAATCACTGGCACTACTATAAGCCTTTCTAGGGGACGGGCATTTGTGCTGCAACTTTCTCCATGCTGCTAAAGGAGTTATTAGTCCTCCAACTGTGAAGAGTATGTTTTAAACTCATACGAATTTTAGCTGTCCAAGTGCTTCCAAGTGGACTGATTCTGTAAGTAGGACATCTATATTCCCAAATATACCTCAGCAGGGACACCTCCTAGATCATATTTTCAATCTCTCAAAAGATTCTTTAAAATTTGGACACTAGTTTCTATACCTTCGAGGGTCCAGTTCATGGTCCTTGGATCCAGTCACTAATTCCGGATGAATTCGCACATGCTCCATCATTGGCTAGAAGAGTTGGGTCGACAAATTATAAAGGGCTGAATGTTTGTGGAACACCCAAACAATGGAATATTAGTTGACAATAAAAAGGAATGAAGTACTGATACATGTTACAACACAGATGAACCTTGAAAACATTATACTGAGTGAAAAAAGTCAGTGACAAAAGACCACATTTTCTATGATCCCACTTATATGAAATGTCCAGAAGAGGTAAATCTATAAAGACAGAGAACAGATTAGTGGCTGCCTGGGGATTGCAGTAGGGAGTAGGAAAATAGAATTTCTTTTCAAAATTTCCCTGTCTGCCATTAAATACAAAAGGCATAAATGCAGCCTGTCTAAACAGCATGCTAAGTAGTAAACAAACAAGCAGTTTTAATTTACCTTGACCACTTCTTCAAAAGTCTCCAAGTTTTCTTTCATACTGTAATGAGAACGCAGAAAGGAGACGAAGTTGCAAGGGTACATTCCATAAAGGCGATGAAAGAGCGCGTACACACTGGCGTGGAGATGGACAAGATAGACTTCTGCCACGTGGCCTAGAAAAGAAACCCGTTGAGAAGAGCCTCTTTGTTGGACGCAGATTGAGGTGTGCAAAACAGACATAAACAAGTGGCTGCCAGCATGACTTTTTATCTATGTATCTCCCACCTCACTCCAAACACAGGAAGAGTGGTTTTCTACAATGCAAACAAATCTGAACACACCAGACACTCTTTTAAAATCCATTAGCGGCTCCCTATAACCCTTGGATAAACTCCAGTCTACTGAGTGTGATCCATGAAGGCTCTCCCTGATCTAACTTCTGCCCTCTTCTCCAGCCACTGCCCAAAAAGGATCCCAAACATTCTCACAATATTGAACTACCTTTATGATACAAGCTCTCTGTAAAATTCATACTTTTCCATTGCTGAAATCAGTATGAGCTTCTTTTTTTTTTTTTTTTTTTTAATAGAGATGGGGTTTCACCATGTTGTTCAGGCTGGTCTTGAACTCCTGACCTTGTGATCTGCCCGCCTTGGACTCCCAAAGTGCTGGGATTACAGGCTTGAGCCACTGCGCCCAGTGAGCTTATTGATAAAAGAACTGTCTTACTCATCTCTCGGTGCTTTGCACTGGACCTGGTGTTTAACAAGCATTCAATATTTATAGAATGAATGTGTGAGAAACTTTTAAATTGGCATGTAGTCTTAGCTATGCAGATTTATAACTACAGAGTGAAAAAAACTATTATCCAGAAATTAGCTTAAAGAGCTAAGAATGAAAGAAACTGAACATCTTAATTTAGCCTTACATGGACCCTGTGGAAGCCCACGGCCACAGTATACATCAGCATACATAAAGGTCCTCCACAATAATGGACAGGCCATTCCTTTCTGCCAAAGATCCTACTCAACAAGCATGCACCATGTGAGCCTATGCTTGTAATTTAATCCTGTATAGGAAGCCACGGTGTTCTGTCTCACAGGTCTGACATACTTCATCCTTTGATAGAAATACCTCACACTGGGATAACCCAAAGATTACAAATTTCACATGCTTACAGCTTCTGATCCCTTTGATAGAACTCTGCTCCCTGCCGACAGGAAAAAAAACCCCACTGTATTTGAAGCTGGAGTGCTAATAAGGACACACTGCATTTCCCTCTGACTCCTACAGATACAACGAGCGCGTTCTCAGAAACTGACACTTGTGTTTTATCACAACAGAGCAGCCAAGGAAGACAGAAACGTCCCACAAGCTTAGTCCTGTACTACTGCAATACAGACAGAGGTTGTTTTTCACTTCATCAACAATCATGAAGTTTTACATCCTACTGCTCAATTTCTCTGACAATCAATCCTTTTAAGCCAACAAAATTAAAAAGTTATCTCAACAATCATGCTTCTCATATGTGCCTGTAGTGGATGCACCGAAGGTATTCCCTCATCTGTCTGGTAAAAACCACTCACTACAGCTATAAAAGTCTACATGTCCTCACAGCATATGAGCGATTCGTCAATAATGAAAGCATTTACCTCACAGGGCCCAATAGGTATATGAGGAGACCTGTACCTGGTTTCTTCAGGCACCATGATGAAAGACGGCCAAAAATGTCAAAGAAATCAAGAAGATGCTGTTTCCCAGACTGTGGAATCATTGGTAGCATGGTTATCAACACCAAGACACCTGTTGTGAGGACAACGACGTTGGTGTCCATCTGCGGGAGAAAAGGTCAAACAGAAAACACCTGTCAGGCGCTGCACCAGGGTCGGCATTGTACAGTACGTGAAGAGGCTCTAAACACTGAGAGAATCACACATCAGCAGTTCACTAGCATACTCATTTCCCTATCCCTAAGGATTACTGAGGGATAGGGAAATGCTCCATCATTCAAACAGACTCAACAGGAAACACTGAGCCCCAGCTCTACTGTAATGAGTCAGTGAGGAAGACCATTTACAATACACCTATGCAAAGGCATCCTGGAGATGAGTTTAAACTTGACTCGGGGACACCCAAGTCCTGAAGCCTTAGGATGCCCTATTTATAACACTTGGATGAAAACAAAAGGAGTTGCTTTTCAACAAAATACAAGAGCACTGCTCTGTTTTCATTCATTCAACCAAATCCTAAGATATTTACTTTTTGTTGTCAATTTAAAAAAAAAAAAACATACTACACAATGACAAGTTACTTGCTTGCTATTTTTTAAAGAACTACAACAGAAGTATAATTGAAGGAGAAATTTGTATAACACTAACAAGTCAACTTAATGGTTCACTTCAAAGCAGTATTTAGAGACCAGTAAATTTAAAAAAAATATGGAAACCTTTGAGCACGCCTATAATTTAAATATTAAGTCAAATAAATAACTTCCAGCTAACTGAAGACACTTAACACCCAGTGGATACTCAATCAACTCTGACTAGCTATAGCGGCTCACCTGACCCACAATTAAATCACAAATGTTTGCCAGGTAGATGAAATTCAGATTAATTAAAAGACTACTACATAGGCTAAGACATCTATTATTCCCATCCATGAGTCTGGGAATAAAGTTTTAAAAATATTTGATTTTTACATCAAGCATCAAGTCTTTCATTATGGAAGATATCTAGCAAGAATAATATATTGGTGAGAGAATTGAGAATATATGAGACTATATAATGATTCTTAGCAAAAAGAACTAGCCGTGATTTCACTTATCCTAACAGTCTAACTGAAGACTTGAGTAATAGTCCATGATTAAATGTTCAAAGCTTACTCTTTTGGAAAACATAAGTGTTTTGCAATCTGAACTAAATGTTGTGTCTCAAAATTAGATCATATTCTCATCAATCCATTTGCTTAAAAACATTGTTATAACTGTTCCTATTTTTTCTTAACATTAAATGCATGTTTTTATAATACCCTACCAATGTGACTCCTTAGGACCCACCTCTAGGGATAATAAAAGAGTTACCCTTCTTGGCAGACACAAAAATCAATTTGCATGGTGCTGTATCAGATGAATCCAATGGTACTGCCATCCTGGAACAAATACTACTGGATATTTTCATGTCTCTGTGAGGTACAGGCAGTTAATATTAACCACATTTTCTTATTTTATAGATAGAAAACAAGTCCAGGAACTAAAACAGATTAAGCAAATAACCCTGAGTATGGCCGCAAGCCACTGTTCAAACTAAAACCATAAAGTTCTATTTGGATTTTGACTCCCTGTGTAGAAAAATGCACTAAATGTAGTGCAAAATAGAATGCAACTTAGAAGAACTTCCATCAACAAAATCTTAATTACAGCTGCAACCAGACCATGCTCCTAAACGGTTAACAGAAACTTTAAGCCATTTTTCTATTAGCTAAAAGATAATTTAGAAACACGGATTCCCAAAAGATAATCCAGCATATTTTAAATGAGGGAAGGCTAAACCATGATGAAATCAAGAGGTTTGGAATAATGTAACATTGAACCCATCTGATCAAACTTTTACCATATTTGCATAGACAAGATATTCAATAGTCATAGCGATATATTTGAGAACTTAACTAAGTACCAACTCTGGACAACATTATATTTCAGAAAAGCCAAATCTCTAGAAGGCTTTAAACTCTAAAAATTAAAATCTAGCTTCCTTGCTTTAAGTTACTTAAAATTTCAGAAACTATACTCATTAAGCCATTTCATTCAAATCCTTACAAACATCCTACCTTGAGACATTTTAGTAAAGAAGGCAAAAGAGGTGCTTGAGAGAGCTTATGCTTCCAAGATGGCTGCAGTCTTATGACATGACCCAGTAACGAGAGGATGGATAAACGAGTGGTGGCTTTGCCCACGTATTCGTTAATCCTGTCCAAGAGGTGCTGAAAATGTAAAAGAACAAGGGAAATCCTCACATGAATACATGAAGTTAGCACAAATAAAGACAGCAATGATGTGCTCCAGTCTCTCAAGTCTTGCCTCTAATGTAAAACAAGGCTCATGCAGATAAAAGATCAAATTCAAGATTTTAAAAACCACGGTAGTAAACGAAACACTGCTGCATTTGGCCTGACAAAAGGCAGTCAGTTTGCATCTCATGAAAAAGGATCCCACAATACACATATGCAAAAAGAGGGAGACTTGTTCACAGTCCCTCAATAACCACTAGCCCCAAAGTGTGACAGGTTGTTGAAGCCATGAGGGGATCCTGCTGGAAGCAGCCACTTATTGCTAGAGCAACACAACCTACATGGTTTGGCCTCAAGTATCACTTAGGTGGTAGAAGTTACAATTCAGGCCAGAGTAAATAAAAAAACAAGATGGGCCAGGTGCAATGGCTCATGCCTGCAATCCCCCCACTTTGGGAGGCTGAGATGGGAGGACAGTTTGAGGCCAGGAGTTCAAAGTTACAGTGAGCTATGATTGTGCCACCATGCTCTAGTCTGGGCAACAGAATGAGACCCCACCTCTTTAGAAAACAAAACAAAACAAGATGTACTGTAAAAGGCATGCAATGACAAGGTCTTCAAATCCTGGGGAGGTTGCTCTCAAATACACACTTAAGGCTTACCAAAGTCTGCAGTAATGATGCTTTACTAGCTACTTATTAAAAACAAAAGGAAAATATGAAGGAGCCCTCCAAGTGCTTGGTGCTGGGAAACAAGACTCATTAATTTGCCACATTAGTCCTTTGCACTTGAAGCTTTTCCATACTGATAAAAGTCTCAAAATCCTATTCAAAGCATAGGTTGAAAAATGGGTATCCATGGGCCAAATCATCGCTATGCAACTATAGTACTGGAAATGTAAGATTTCTTTAAACGAGATCTTTAACAGTCTCTGAACTATGTTTTATTTTACGAACTTTTCAAGAAACGTGGGTCCTACAAATTATTTTTATATATCGTTACAAACTGGGAACAACGTCATCAGTGGCACACAGAAATCAAAAGAATAAGCTCCGGACAAGTTGTACAGTGGCCGTGCACAGAAGCTGTTGTACTCAGAAAGAACATATGAAATTGCCTATGATATTTCAGCCGTTACCTTGTCATGTGGCTCTTGCAAGGTGGTCAGGATGTGCAATACTGGCTGAGAGTTGGTTTCCAGGTAGTAATCCACCAAGGTGTTTACAAGCATAGGACCACGGTCTAAATCAAGAAGGCAATGGATCATACCTATTTCCCTTAACATCCTAAATTTACCTTACATAGCTGCCCGTCACAAAATCTAGAAAATGTTTATATGCTCTTCTAAGTTTTATACAGCATGACATTTCTGCCTCTTAATAATAGGATAATTCCAAGCTTATTTGCCTAAATATGCATAAAACATATGAAGTGCTTTTATTTTTACTGCTTTTTTAATTACGAAAAATAATTCAGGCTATGTAAAAGTACATCAAATAAAAATGAAAGTGCTCCTTACCCCCTGCCTCCAAACCCACTCTTCGCAGATAAACACCCTTAAGTTTAGCGTGTGTCTCTTCAAACCGAACAATCACATGCACACAGCCCTCATGTCCACAGACACAGTTTGTGCACATGTATGTTTTTTCCACTAAACAATGTGTTGTAACTACCTTCCCATGTCAGCATCTACAGCCTATTTCATTTCTTTCTGTCTTCCTAGGGTTCCACTGCATGGCTCTACATAATGAATTTAACCATTTACCTACTGAAGGATACTTGGGTTTTTCCAATGTCTCGCTATATTTCACTCAAAGCTGTAATAAGATACAGATTCTTAAAATATGTGTTTTTAAATTGATGACAGATACTCCAAAAGACTAAACACATCAATTCATATTCATGCTAACAGTGCCCATTTCTATATTCAATATTTAATTCTGCCAACCTGGTAAGCAAAAAAAGGGTACTATTTAAATTTCTATTTCTCATATTAAAACCAGGTTAAGCACTTTTCATAATAAAAGCCAGGTATGTTATGTGATTTACAGTTAAAATGATGTCTGGAATTTGTTTTAAAATATTTGGAGGGTAGGAGAGTCAGGGAGGAAAGAATTTGAAACTGGGTTCATGAGTTAACTGCACGATTCTTACTTCACGTGTGTGCGGATTTAAGTATTTCCATAATTGAAAGTTTAAAACACATACAGAATGAATCCACCAACATATACTCTCTTTGGGTGTTTAAAAAAACTCTTCAGAAGATGAAACCTGAAATGTATCAGCAGGATTCTAGTGGCTTTAAGTCAATCTCTTCTTCTTAGCAGATAAGCTAAAAAGGATATTACTTTGCTAACCAGAATTGAGGTTCTCTTTAAAGACAGCTGTCACGTCGTCCCGCACATTCAGCATGGGGGAGTCCAGCATGGAGAGGAGCTCCCCGACATTCGCTTGTTGGGCCATTCTCTAGCTTGAAGGTGCTGTGCCTGCTCCAGGACGTATCTTACAGGTTCTGAAGGCTCTTCATTGGGGCCACTACCAGACTGAGACAAAGGAAGATGAACGGTGACTAACTGGCCCCATTTTTCCCCACAAAAAAATACCTGCAAGACAAACCAATGCATGTGTTCAATGCAATGCAAAGTCTGCCCACAATTGTCTGATTCAAACGGTGAATCCCTTTGGCTGATAAAAGAAGTATATGAATAATTCTTTGACAAGTTTATGAAGAGGATTTCTATAAAATATAACACCAGAAAGAAACCTTAAAAACTGATACCAGTCACAGCAACTTAATGACAGGATCAAATCTAAGTTTTATTCCTACTTCTGAGTCTACCTTGGGTTTTGGCTAAGACTGTATTTATGTTCCAAATTATTGATCTATAAAACAGACAGTCTTTTTTCAGAAAGGGAATTAAATACATACTATTTCCTTCTTGACAGTCTCATCAATGTCTAAGAGTTAGTACAGCTGGTTAGGTCACAAGTCTGTTAAGTCCAACACTTAGCTGGGGATCATTTCTCTGTTTCAGCATACCCCTTATCTGAGACATCTAACTGCACACCCAAATACCACTGGCTACAGGCAGGTATCCACAGATGGGATCGTCAGGGCAAACTTTCAAAAACTCACCCTTCAAAACCCAAGCTCTCTATGGTAGTAGAGCAGCTGCTTTATCTTGATATACAAAAAGCAGCTCATTCCCCAAGTGTAACTATACACATTTATGATTTATCTCCCACTTGGGCCTCTGAGGCTGTATTTGTAAAAACAAGTAACAACAGTTATCATTTATAAGGCGAGCACCATACACCTTTTACAAACATCACTGTATATACTCCTAACATGACCACCACATCATTGGCACTTTTGTCCCCATTGTACAGGGAGCAGAACGGAGATCAAGCCATTTACTCTGGGTCACAAAGAAAGCAAGAGGCAAAACCAGGGGAGAAAAACTGACATTTGAACCTAGATCTCCCTGACTTCAAAGCCCCAAGCCCTTCAGTGTCGCACTAAGCTAACTTGTGGTTTTGATCATCACAGCAACTCTGTGATGTGATGTGAGCAGCCATCATCCTTATTTCACACATGGGAATATGGATGCCCAAAAAGGATAAAATTTCCGTTCCTTTCAGTCAGCCTAGGTAGCAGTTCTTAAGTTTCAATGTGCATCAAAACCACCTGGGATGTTTGCTAGAAATGCAATACCTGGGCCCCTTCCAAAACTGAATTTTGGGCTCAGGAATCTATATTTTAATAAGCACTCCAGGGAATTCTTAAAGTGATACACAAATTATTTTTGAGAAACACTATGATAAAGAAAAATCCAACTAAAGAGTTAAAAAGAATTAAGCTGAGGCCAGACCTGGTGGCTGAGGCCGAGTGTAGCAGCTCACACCTGTAATCCCAGCACTATGGGAGGGGAGGCTGAGGCAGGAGGATCACCTGAGGTCAAGAGTTCAAGACCAGCCTGGCCAACAAGGTGAAACTCCATCTCTACTAAAAACACAAACATTAGCTGGGTGCGGGGGTGTGTGCCTGTAGTCCCAGCCACTCAGGAGGCTGAGGCAGAAGAATCACTTGAGCCTGGGAGGCAGAGGTTGCAGTGAGTCAAGGTCATGCCACTGCACTCCAGCCTGGGCAAGACTCTGCATTAAAAAGAAAAGAAAAGAAAAAGAAAGAGATAAGATCCTTCGGAAAGAATACCAAATTTAAATTAGCAGTGACCCCAGAAACTGCCAGGTATTAACTTACTATCATCTACGTTCTTGTTTAGCTACAACCTGGTGATATTCACTACTTTTGGCTCTTAGTCAGAAATTCAATTATCAGAAAAATCAATTAAAGTGTCTAAATGCCTTTTTGATACCAAATCCATGATATAGGAAGTTGCTGACTCATATCTGTAAATAAAAATCTTACAAGGAAAATCACATAAGAAGTTAATTTCAAAGGGCTCCAAAATGTGAGACCACCGTTAGTAAGACTCTATCATAAAACTTCAAAACCAAAAAGCAGTTAGTACAGTACCAGGTACACATAAACACTCACTGCATAGTACCTGTACATTATTATAAAAAATACCAGGAAAAAGCTTTGGGCCACCACTTTCAAGATGACTTCTGAATAGCATATTTGCCCAGCTAACCCCCACATTGATTTCTACTTCAGGTAAATCATAAATTAGTGACAAAGAATGTAGTTCAGAAATTTAAAAGTACCTTGTCCCTAAGTTTGGTTTTGTTTCAATAAAATTGCTACTTACATACTATCTGTCTAGGGAGACTCTAAGTTTGCCTTCTGTGTAGTCAGAAGATGACAACGTCAGATCTGATCCTCCAAATACAGGCAGCCCCAGAGCCCAGAGTGACACAAGCTCAATTTTACACAAAGATGGCACCCATCTAGTCAACTTGGCGATAGTCAGCTTGGGCTACCTAGCTTGTTTTTCAGTTTGCAAAAATTAGGTTTTATTCTAAAACACATTAGAAACACATTTTGGCAACAAGTTTTTCTCTCTGGTTCCAAAATTCTACTGTTGGCCGCGTTGGTGGTATAGTGGTGAGCATAGCTGCCTTCCAAAATTCTACTGTTTACCGTAGTTTTTAATCTCTAGGAAAAATATAAACGTTGGGTTTTATGTGAGATTCTTTGTATAAGTGGCTCAAGTTCAAGCATTTTTGACATTCTAAAAAGTCCTCCTAAGAGTTAAATCATAGCTCTTGGAATCAGTCCCATAACTAGAATATCTCCTTTTTAAGTACATTCAAACATTTGAGGGTACAGTAAGTACAAGGCGGTAAGTAGGTAAGACAGGCTTAGCCAGTGCAATGAAGAATTATATGTTCTACAGCAGAAAAAAAGACATGGTTCAATATATGCACAAAAAAAAGGAAGAAACCAGCTCGACTTAGACTTGTGGTGGTGGACGGGATGTACATGTTAAGCACACTTTACAGCCTATAGAAGACTGGCTGAGAAAAGTCACCTAAAGATTAGCACCGCAGACACACTGAAGCATCCGTATGTTAGCCACAAAAGTCTCTAGCCATAACAGTCTCTTTTCCATTTTGGAACTCACCACAGAAAACAGTCATACAGGAGAAGCTAAAAGACAGCAACTGGGTAAATGCATTTCCACATCCTATATGCTAAAGCAACGTTCCACTTACTTTAACATTATCTTTAGTGGCCACATACAGTACACAGTGCAGTGCTGCAGATGATGCTAGTCATATTAAGGGGGCATGACCTTCAATGCCAATCTCCACTCCAAAACCCATCACTCTGCCATCTTCTGGACCTCAGTAAAAGGTACCATCAGTCTCAAGCAAACACCCAGGCGCCTGCTTGACTCTTTCATCACCCCCACCACCATATCTAATCCATCAGCAAACCATTAGCTATCACCACAGTTGAAGCCCCCCCATCTCTCAGAGACGAGGCAGCAGCCGCCCCCCTCACTATTCTCCCTGCTTGTATTCATGCTACCCTGCAAAATTAATTCGCCACCAAATAACCACAAGAGACACTGAGATACAAATATCAGAATCTCACTCCTCTGCTTAAAATCGTCCAATGGCTTCCTATGGAATTAATAAGAGCCAATAACACGATGGAACTTACGAAGCTCATGAGTAGCCTACAAGGCCTCAAAAGATCTAGCCAGTCATTAACCTCCCAACACCCCTGTCTCTTCGATTCCTCTGCTCTAGTCCCAGTCTTCCCAAACACATGAATACCGGTTCTTTCCTGCTCAGGGCCTTTGCACTTGCTGTTCCCTCTTTGCATGGAACGCCCTTCTCCCACATCCTTGCACGGCTGACTGTCTCTCAGACCTCTGATGGGCCTCCCCTGACCACCCAATCTAAAGCAGCAGGGAGGTGCTTACCCATCACTTTTCAGTAAAAGACACTTTGGAATTCATGAGAAACCTTGAACCAATTTTAAACTGTACAACTAGTCATCAGATGCAATCAAACAATACTTACGATCTCAAAAAGCATGGAAAACAGGGATCTGCTCAGTTTCAGTCTCTAGACGTAGCTAAAATCTGATGTGTGTCTGGCTTCGGCACTCATCCTTTTTTTTTTTTTTTTTTTAGACGGAGTTTCGCTCGTTACCCAGGCTGGAGTGCAATGGCGCAATCTCGGCTCACTGCAACCTCCGCCTCCTGGTTTCAGGCAATTCTCCTGCCTCAGCCTCCTGAGTAGCTGGGATTACAGGCACGCACCACCATGCCCAGCTGATTTTTTGTATTTTTAGTAGAGACGGGGTTTCACCATGTTGACCAGGATGGTCTCGAATTCTTGACCTCGTGATCCACCCACCTTGGCCTCCCAAAGTGCTGGAATTACACGCGTGAGCCACCGTGCCCAACCTTTTTTTTTTTTTTTTTCTTTTAATTGAGACAGAGTCTTCCTCTGTTGCCCAGGCTGGAGTGCAATGGCATGATCTCAGCTCACTGAAACCTCCATCTCCTGGGTTTAAGCAATTCTCCTGCCTCAGCCTCCCAAGTAGCTGAGATTACAGGTATGCACCACCAAGCCCAGCTAATTTTTGTATTATTAGTAGAGATGGGGTTTTACCATGTTGGCCAGGCTGGTCTCGAATTCCTGACCTCAGGTGATCCACCTGCCTTGGCCTCCCAAAGTCCTGGGATCATAGGTGTGAGCCACCATGCCCGGCCAAAAATGTCTTAAAAATGAGGAAAAAAGTATAAATAAGAATCCCCCATGAAAACAGAAAAATGCTATTAAAAGCTGGGCTTTTTTCTTTCAAAATTAAAATAATTGCTAAAGGTGGCCAACAATTTTTTGTAACTGAACAGGAAGCATCTTTGAGGCCTGCCAAGCTATGAATCTCAGGTATAAGGTTCCTTCCAGAAAACCATCTACCAGAAACTTTTCTGAATTCCGCTTTGCCCAAAAACGTTACTAATGAGGCTGTGTGCCAGGTGAGATGATATTACACACATGTGACGTAGTGACCACAGGAGTAATCTAGCAGCCTGTAGTGCCCACAAAGTATTTTTCCTATATTAAAATTTCAAACTTCTAAAATCTGACTACTAAAATGCAATATAATTACTATCGTGAAAAATGTTTAATAAAATTTGAGATTTACTTTTGTATCCTAGAACTTACATTTTATGATGGTGGGCCCATTTAGCTTGGGCCTCAATAATCTGAACACTTAACTGTTTGACTTTGGGTTCAAATTCATATACAGTGGACTTCTAAAAAAGGAACAGTATGAAGTATACACACAAAAACACTGAACATGAAAAATCAAACTCAGAAAACTTTCCCTACTTGTGAGACAATGATACTTAACTTTCTTGTTAGAAAGCCTACAATTTGTATCAAGACCCTATTCATGAACTGATGTAAATCTGTAAGACAAAAATCCCTACCTTATTTCATAACTCCTATGACAGAGGTGAGGCAGACAGTTACAGGATACAGTAAACAGCAACCACTGAACCCTGGCATGAATCACATAGCTGTCCATGTACAAAGACAGCAGACTAAGCATCTCTCCGTCTTCCTACACCCTTCCTATACACAACTCTGTTGTGCTTGGCACTATTACTGCTAAACCAAAATTACAGTTCAGTGATCAGTTAGGTCACTAAGAGGAAATTCCATGCATGGAAATGATGGTGCCTCAACATTTATGAAGGATATATTCTGAGACAGGATCGTCTAATCCCTAAAAACTACTATAGCATATAATTTATCCCCCAAAATTAATAGCCACATTAAGATGCAAATGCTCACTCGCCAGCTCAAGGGTTCTCAGCCCAGGATGTACATTAGAATCCCCGGGAGAGCTTACAGAATCCTGAAGTCCAGGGCCCCCTCTGGAACAGGTTAAGGGGTGGAATCCAGACATCACATTTGGTTTGTTTTTATAAACCCATGCGGATTTCCAAGGTGCAGCCAAGGTTAAGAACCTCTACATTAGTTAAATGACTTGTGCCAGCACACCGGCTTAAATTTAATGAAGTGGTTAAAACCAAACTTTGCTGCTAAACAGAACTGAATTAAGTCCACCAAGTACTAGCTATACATCTTTAGGAAAATTATATGCCATCTTTGAGCCCAAATCCTCACCTGTAAAATGGGGATACACTGAAAGTGGGGCTGTGAAGAAGAAAAGTAATGCACATAATGCACTTTGCAGTGTCAGGCAATGAATACGCAACTAATCATCATAAGTAATGTGACTAATTACTTCATGCCATAGATGGTCCAGTTCCTGGCAAGTAGCTAAAACTGTAAATGTTAAATTCAATCATGGACAAGATAATTCCCTCCCATCTTCCACTAACCACTGGCCTGGTTATACCCTTACCTGTTCTGGGGACAATTGGTACTTCGGTTTCCAGTGCTGTCAACCTGGTGTCTTTCATGGTCACTGAAGGAAGAAAACACACATACAATGAAGCAAAATCCCAGAGGCAATCAGAAGGGAGTTAGGGGTTCATCTGTCACATCCTTCTTCCTACTCTATCCCTGACAGGTGGCCACCAGGTTTCCACTGGAATGAACACTCATAATCACTGGAAGCACGTGCCTCTCCCCGTCTACATTTCTGAACAGCTGGTTGCTGGAAAATTCTTTATATTGTGCTGAACTTGTAATCTCTGTCTTTTGTTAATGTCTGTCAGAGGTATAAACGAATGGGCAGGATAGGCCCTAGAATTAGAGAGCTCCGGGTTAAAATCCAAGCTCTGCAACTTATTAGCTCTGTAACATTTGGCTATTTATCTTAAGTCTCCAAAATCTAACTGGAAGTTATCTCGTCTGTAAAGTTAGAATAACGGTGGCATCAAGCTCATAAGGCTTGTGGGGATTACATGAGACGATACAGCCTACTGTACTTGGCACAGTGTGGGGCACACCGAAGTTACCAGAGGAGCCATGTGAGGCAGGTCCAGGAAAGTGAGGGGCACAAAGCACTGAGTAGGCCTGCAGGACCTCACCACCCACCACAGTCCCCACAGTCCTCACCCCTCCTCAGCCCTCCCCACCACCTTGCCTCACTAGCCTTTCAGTTCCTTGGCCAAGCCACACACTCCCTATTCCTGGGCCTAAGAGACTCTACCTTTGGCTCCTCCTAAATTCACTCTTCATTGTTAAAATCTCAGCTTAAATGCTCACTTCCTCAGAGAAGACCTCCTAGGCCTCCACTTCCCTCCCACTCCCACCTCCCAGACTAGGTCAGGTCCCCTATTATACTCTTGCAGCCTGTATTTCTTGTGTCACTTACCACGATCCAATTAAATAAGCTCGATCAATTACTGGACATGTCTCCTTGACTAGAAGTTACACCCAGGGAGAAACTGCAGCTTACTCAGCGCTGTGTTTCAAGCAGCTACCACGGTGCCTGGCACTTCTTAATTGAATGGCTAGGAGTTAAAATCTTTCTTTTTCTTTCTCATTGATTTTCTTTCTTTCTCTCTTCCTTTCTTTTTTACAGACAGGGTCTCACTCTTAGGCTAGAGTACTGTGGAGCCATCATAGCTCACTGCAACCTCAAACTCCTAGGCTCAAGTAATCTTCCTACCTCAGCCTCTCTGGTAGCTAGGACTATAGGCATACACCATCATGCCTAATTTTTTTTTTTTTTTTTTTTTTCATTTTAGAGATGGGGTCTCACTATGTTGCCCAGGCTGTTATCAAACTCCTAGCCTCAAGCAATCCTCCCAGCAAGGCCTCCCAAAGTGTCATTATTACAGATGTGAGCCACTGCACCCAGCCAATATTTCTTAAATAAATCTGCAAAGCCTAATTGTGCCTTCATGAAGCATGACTTAAGTTTAATCCTTCTTCACAAGAAACATAAAATATTTATGAACAGCCATCATTTTTCTGTTTTCTTCCCCCTTTCACCCTACTTTCTGTTCAAATTAACCTGTATTAAATATCCATCTTAAATATGAGGATATATAAATACATTCTAGTTTGCTTTTAAAATATGGGTCCTTCAAACTATAGGTACAATCTGATCACTAGATTATAAACTCCACAAGGAAAGGAACCATCTGGGACACCTAGGGCCCATCCTGGCACCTGGCACACAAGAGGCAAACACACCGTGCTCAGGTCAGGTAAGATTTAATCATCTTCTTTGGCAGCCATTCCAGAGTTGAATATAGAGTATAAAAGCTCAGCCTCATATACTGTGGACAACTAATTATCCTAAACATGGAAAAAACTCTAACCAAGTTCTTAAATATACAACCATGGCCAAAGTCAAACTAGTGGATTGAGCAACTCTCTAACAATTAAAATCTCTTGCTCCAGATGACAGGGTAATTTTATTTCCACGTGGAACACATTCCAGATATTAAACTCTACTGGTCTTCGATGGCACCTGCAAGCCTGTGAAGTGCTGCAGGCAGGCTGGTCCTCCAGAAAAGAGGGATCATAATGCCCTTCTGACAGGGAGTGCTTGCCTGGCCACACTTACTCCACCAAGTCAGAGGGCTTGAATTAAAGTGCAGGAGCCGCTAATCTTAGAATCTTAAAATCAGCAGTTAGTCCAGTGAGTCATATAGACTTCCTCTTGCAATTAATCCTGGTTGGATCTTTTACCTGAAAAGAAATATCTAAGGCAAAGGTAAAGTTAGGATCTACACCAGATGAGATCCTATAGACTGCCCAGTCAAGACCCCTGTCCTACATAAAGGACCTACTCTAGGAAAGCAGAGTGGTTTTATTGCTCGTGGTTTACTTTTTTGTTTTGTTTTGTTTTTTGAGACAGAGTGCAGCCTGGAATGCAGGGGCATGGTCACAACTTACGGGTCACTGAGACCTTCGCCTCCAGGGCTCAAGTAATCGTCCCACCTCAGCCTCCCAAGTAGCTGGGACTACAGGCACGCACCACCATGCCCAGCTAATTTTTGTATTTTTTTTTAGAGGCAGGGTCTCCCTATGTCGCTCAGGCTGGTCTAGAACTCTTGGGCTCAAGTGATCCATCCACCTCGGCCTCCCAAAGTGCTGGGATTACAGGTGTGAGCCCCCACCCCGTCAAGCAAAGTGTTTTTGTCCATTACTCAATGTTAAGACTTTTAACTTCTTTATCACTATATTAAAAATGGTAATGGTACTAAATTGGCAGCAATTTTATGTTGGTGTGTCAAAGGCTACCTACTATTCTACTCTTACTTATATTTGTAAGTGTTTATTGACTTACTCATTCATATTTGGATCCTGCCAGGGGGTACTACCAAGCACAATCAGTCTGGTCAGTAAAGTGAGACGTGATTTGTGAACCTCTAGAGGGGAAAGAAGGGGTGTGGATGGAAACAGCTGGCAGAGCAGAACATCAGTCTCAACCTCTGTCTTTATCTTTGAAAGCCAAATGTAAAAAGAAACCTGCCTCCAGATCTAGATAGTTTCCCTTTCATATTTGACCCAAAAGTTGTGTTCTCACCTATGCTCATCATTGTAACTTCACTTCTGTCAGCAACCTTTTTGAAAAGTGCAGGTTTGAGGAAGAAGATAGGGGCTCTGTGTTTAAGTATTTTGAGATGAAACAGAAAGCACATAGGCCAATCTGTCTTTACTGTTCATCTTAACTAAAATCATTCTTTAGGTGTTTACAGATGCATGGCTTAGAGGCCTAGGATTACACTTGAACTCCAGCCTAGCAGCCATAGATAGCTGTTGTTACCAGGACCCATATGCATTTTTTTCACGTATCTCTGCCCTAGCCAAGATGCATTATGAGCTGTGAGAGAGCCAAGAGGTACATAAACCTTTTGAAAATACTAGTGGCAGATACCTAAGATGTCTTTAGAAAGGATTTATCTGGAATTACCGCTAAATATTCAAACTTTTCAAAAACAAATGCTGTTGTATGTGGCCTAGACACTACTATCCTCTATGATTCCTCAGGACTATATGCAACATAAAATAGGTAACTGTATATCAAATTGCCTAAGATAATTTTGTACACATTTGTCTATGATGTAAAAATGCACTGCATGTGTAAATGAAGGCAGATGTCTCTTCACTATAACTTGTTTTCTACATTCAATTTTTTATCCATAAAAATTCAAGGACAATTCAGACACACCTTCAGGCAATGGATAGACTATTTCAATATCAAGTACAGTTAGACAGAGCAGAAGCATTACACTGTTATGTTAATGTTCTGCTCTGGCTCCAGAACTCTCAGGTGATTTCTTAGAGTAATATGCTATCAAGTGAACCCAGGCGCCTTCAGCACAAATGCATCTAAAAAGAGTAAGTAAGATACTTGCTCCCATTCTATCAGTGCCTAGAAAAAAGGAGAAAAGGGTAGGAAATAACTACTTACCATGCGAGAGTAAAACAGCTGATGGTAAAACCTGCCAACACGTGTAGTCATGTGTGATTTAAAACGTCTCGGCAGTTAGTGTCCCTCTCAAGGACAAACTGGGGGAGGAGAGCTCCAACTTGCCAGATTCTCCATTCAGAATTTCTGCCACTGGGGCCTTGATGGATGGTTTGCTAATGCTTATATCCTATCTCAAAGGTGAAGAATCCTCTAGTAGCTTGCCTGTAAGGCCGGAGCTTGATTTTGGTAAGGCGTATCTCGTCAATAAATAATGCTTATGTTTTCACTTTCTATTAACATGAACATTATTTACCAAGAAAATACAAGCCAAACAGATACCATGTACCTTTCAAAAAGTCACTACCCAAAGCCTCCCCTAAAAGAAATGTAAGCAGCTGGGCACGGTGGCTCATTCACCTGTAATCCCAGCACTTTGGGAGGCTGAGGTGGGTAGATCACCTGAGGTGAGGAGTTCGAGACTAGCCTGGCCAACACAGTGAAACCCCATCTCTAGTAAAAATACAAAAATTAGCGGAGCGTGGTGGTGGGTGCCTGTAATCCCAGCTACTCAGGAGGCTAAGGCAGGAGAATCGCTTGAACCTGGGAGGTGGAGGTTGCAGTGAGGTGAGATCACGCCACTGCACTCCAGTCTGGGTGACAAGAGTGAGACTCTATATCAAAAAAAACAAACAAATAAAAAAAGAAATATAAGCAAACTGTGAAATATCTTTGGGTTTCAGATTTCTAGGACCAAAATGGAAGTATTCCAGAGAAGAAAGGTATAGTTTGATAGTGTAGGGCAGTGGTTCTCAAAATGTGGTCCTGGCACCACGAGGATGAGCACCACGTGGCTATTTGTCAGAAATGTAAATTCTCAGGCCTTCCCCCAGATCTCTGAATTAGAAACTTTGGGGGTGGGGTCTTTTAGGTAATCCTGATGTCCACTAAAGGTTCAGAACCACTGTTCTAGGAAAAAGAAGGATGAAGGTAAAAAAACATTCATCCATTAATATACCTGCATTGAGGTTCAGATGGAAAAAAATATATCGTGCATAAACCTTGGGAAAAAGGCCCAGTGGAATTCTGACAGGTACTAAAGGTACCAGCACAGACCAAAATGCCAAGTCTTACAAACACTTAGCAGGTTACATACCTGGGTACAATACAGAAGTTTAACAAAGTAATTTATAACCTAGACAGTACATAAAGCCACCTTTTGACTTGGGCATTTCCTACCTACTAGTTTAAAAAAAGGATTGTTTTTAATAAAGCCAAAGTCCATTTTCAGAGCTGTAATCTACCTAAAACGATCAGCTGGGTTTCAAGCTGGGTCCATAAAGTCTCTGAAGCCATATCCAGAATTCCATGTCTATATGAAGTCTTTTGGTGATGATGGGACATAGAAGAGGAGACATTTGGTCCATAGCTTTCCACAGATTTTCAGAGGAGAATTGAGTCCACACATCTCCCCACCACAACCACCAAAGTTAAGAACCACTGACCTGACCTGTGAGTTAATTTATGAGATCAGCATGAGGCGGTTTATCACAGTGGAAGACTAAATGTTTGGGCTCTGGAGTCAACCAAAAAGGTGCATATCCCAGCTCAGCCACTGAATAATGGCTTTAGGCAACTTACTACAGGTCTTTAAGCCTGTTTCCTCTTCCTATCCTGCCTCTTAAGGCTGTAGGAAGCTAATGGGGAATCAGACATGTAAAATACTTAGCACAATGTTTGGCACGTGAGTACTCAAAAAACATAAACTTTATTGTAACAATATTACTATTAAACAAAATGTATTGCTGGGTACATAATACTTAGTGGTCTATCCATTTAACAACTGGTATTTGAAACATTGATAAAACACTCTATAATGTAAAATGGATACAGTTCAAGTTTGTTACAATGCTCTGTGAACTACCCAAAGTAGCAGAGTCTTAATGCTTGCTTGCACAGTAAGGTCACTGCCTCTCTTCTCCCTGCAGCTCCCCTCTGTGTCTTCCATCACATCACCAATAGAAGGGCAAAACTGTCCTTTGTTACTTAACACTCAACACTTTACGGCCTTTACTGCCATCATACCTACTTAAGAGAGCGACCTGTGAGTTGTAGGGCAGTAACTACTATGCTTTATTTTGGACTAAAGCACGGTTTTTAAAGACATTTTACTTATCAGGTGGAAATCTGGATTCATTCAACTGTAAAAAATAGTTACCTTTTGCTGATTCCCTGTTCATAACAAAAGTTAGCACTGAACAAGAGAAAGGACAAGAAGAAACTGACAAGGTCCTGAAACTGCATATTTTATACATAGTACATAAGATTTGAATTTTTATTCTCTCCCATGAAAACAGACATAAAATTACTAATTTCTAGCAACTAGAGGCTTAAAAAATAAACCAGAGAAAGAATAATCTCAAATTGCTGACAGGTTACCTCTTTCAGATGAATTTAAATGGAGAAGAATGAGTATTTCATGCCATCCAAATTATATTAGTTACCAATGATCTGAGGTTAAAAAAACCAAACTGAGTGTTCGAGTATATACTACATACACACATTTCCAGCAAACAGCCACAGACCTTAATGCTGCTGAGTATACTCTTCTTTCATGCCTTCAGCTACTTAAATGACAAAACCAACACAAAGACTAACCTGTAAGAGTTTTCTAATATGGGAAACTTACAGGGAATTACCTTTTTTTAAAAAAAATTATGATGTAAAGGAAAAGATAAAGGATAAACAGATCTTCACCCAGTGGAGCAGGTTCAAAGTCACCAATTTGCTTGGTTATTCTAACACCATTAACATGTTGACTCAATTGATTTAGTCAGAATGTTTAACTGACACCCCAAAGGACTTTAAATCACAGAAATGTAGGCCCAGAAACACTCATTAATTTACAACCCAACTCTTGCTTTCACAGATGAAGACTCTGAGGCTCAGAGAACTTAGGTGACCCACTGAAGGTCAAAAGCTATCTGACTCTTTAGAAAAGCCAGAAATGGTTGAGAGATTGCTGTGTTTGGCTCATCGGCATCCAAGAATATCCAATTAATTCCAGGAAAAGCTAATTTTAGTTCACTATGGCCCTGGAACCCAGAAATGAATATGCCTGTAGCCTAACAAACTTCAAATGAAGACAGAGCTATAAGATCAAGTCAGCTCTAATTCAGAGCCCAAAACTCACCCACCACTACACATAAAGAAGCTAGAAGCTATTTTAAGAAACACCTCTGCAATTAATAATAAATGAAAATAGCCAGATTGATACCTGAAGCCAGCAGTCCTCAACCTCTGGTGCACATCAGAATCAGTCTTTAAAAAATACATATATACATGTGTGTATATATATACACATATATATATGTATATACATATATGTGTATGTGTGTGTGTGTATATATATATATATATATATATATATATATATATATGTAAATGGTCTTCAAAGACCGAATATGTAGGTCTACCTACTACAGTGTCAAATACCTGTACATCAAGGTTCTCATGAGCACTATGGTTTCAAATCTCATTTCCAGCAATGTCATTATTCTGCAAACATTACATATATAGGTATATATTAGATTTGCCCTAGTAAGGCTGTTAAGTTTCATCTCACGAATGAAACCAGGCATGCACAGAAGGCATCATATTACACAACAGCAGCAGTATCAGTTTTAACTCTTAACCCGGTAAGGAAGAAGACAACTGAGTCACAGGACTTGAGGCACTCTAATTTTATGGAAACAAGAAGGCTGGTCGCCACCTGCTTTCTAACCAGGAATTTAGGAACATACCAAGTGTTTATGACACCAGGAAATGCATGAAGCAGAGAAAGTTTACATCATCTGCCCTTCTAGGCACGTGATGTAAGAGTGTTTTGGATAAGATATTAACTTTAGTAACAGGATATTTTCCGTTTACATCTTCTATAAATGTCCCTTAAGTTTACACCAGGTGGTTACAGGAAGATTCTGCAGCTCCCCAGGGCAATGGCAAAGAATGTTGCAGTGTTTCTGAGGAGCCTCATTTGCCTGATGCATGACTGTTAAAGGTACATTTCCCTACACAACACTAAATCAGTTTTCACATTTGCATATTCCAGGTTTACTCAGGAATGCTCAACTTAAGAATCACAGGTGGTTGCTCAGTAAATCAAAGGCTCCCCAAAGATTAGGTTTTATAATGCTTCCTGAAATTTACAGCTCCACTTTGCCAGCCTGTTTGAATTCAGATGACTCCAAGTTGATCCCAATATTATAAATCAAAGTAACTCAGAAGAGTATTATTCTATTTTAACACTTTTACAGCTTACTCCATGCAAAGTGAAGTACTATTTCTATGCTTTCTATTAAAAAAAAAAAAAAAAAATCCCTCTGCACCGGTGTTTCCTCGTGCGGCGTGAACCTGAGGACATCATGTTATGAAGAAATGGGGGGTTTGGTGATTCGTGGGATCAGAAATTTCAACGTAGAAAACAGAGCGGAGCGGGAAATCAGCAAGATGAAGCCCTCTCCCGCTCCCAGGCACCCTTCTACCAATAGCCTCCTGCAAACGCAGATGCGTGTCAATCCAGAAATTAAGGGACAGATTGCTCGTAAAGATGACAAACTACTGTCGTTTCTAAAAGATGTGTATGTTGATTCCAAAGATCCTCTGCCTTCCGTGCAGGTAAAAGCTGCTGAAACACATCAAGAGCCAGGGGAATTCAGATTGCCAAAAAGCCAACACTTTGATATAACAAATATTAAGAGCGTTCCCAAAGGCAAAATTTCTATTGTGGAAGCATTGACACTTCTCAATAATCATAAACGTTATCCAGAAACATGGACTGCTGAGAAAATAGCACAAGAGTACCTTTTAGAACAGAAAGATGTGAATTCCCTTCTTAAATATTTTGTTACTTTTGAAGTCAAAGTCTTCTCTCCTGAAGACAAGAAAGCGATAGAACCAAAATGAAGAAAATCACAAAAATTTGCTATGTGTACTCCTCATCTTTCATCCTGTATATTTTCTCATTTTTTGCATATTAACTTATGTTAATTACCAAGTGTTTCATGCTCTTATTGTGAGAACATACTCTTAATGTTTGTTGAGCTCCCTGACTTTTCAAGATTGCCATAGCATGTATTTTGTCTTCTTTTAATTTTGTTTAGGAATATTTCATGTGTACATGTCAGCATGACTATCAGCACATCTGTACCTTTATTATAAGTAAAAGAATTAATATGTTGTTTTAGGCACATCATGCCAACTTTTAAATTGGTCATACGACCCCTTGGGAAATGTCCTGAATCCCTCATTTAAGTTTTACTTTCCATGTTAAGTGTTTAGTTCATTCTTCATATGTGATAGTGAAAATAAAAGCTTTCCTGACTCTTAAACTGTTATTTTTTTTGTCAGGGAAAGACTCGATAGCAAGGTACACTAACAGTATTTCCCAAATAAAGGCACACAGGAGAAAAGAACGAATCAATAGAATCTAATTAAAATTACTACTCCAGGGAGTAAGAAGTACTGAGGATTTATTTTATTTTGATTTGGTTTTAAGTATGGAATAATTGTCTTTAAAGTTATAAAAATTAATTTGTGGTGTTTACAAAATGTTGGGAATTTCTCCTTTGACAAAGAGGTTAGTCCCATGGCCTTCAGAGAGGCAGACAGCAGTAGAAACTTTTGAAAAAACATTTCTCTGGATTTAACATGGAAATAGAAAAATTAAAAAAAAAAAACTTAAAAACCATGAAAATGAAATTTGGTGATTATATATGGTTTCAAATGTTGACCCTAGTGGAGAGAAGAGAGAAAAAAATAGCAAGTAGAAGCAGAGAACAGGATCATTGGAAGGGACCCGAGAAATTGCTGCTTCATCCATTTTAGCAAACTTGTTAGCGCAGCACGTAGGATCTTGAGTGTGTATGAGTTTAGCTCTGCCTAAAATATTGCTACTTGTGGGATCTTTTGGGGACTATATCCTCTTTGAGATTGAATTTCTTCTATAAAATTAGCCTAATGCTATCTTACTTAAATTTAAGGGTTATCTGAAGATAAATGAAATAGTAAAGGACTACTAAGGACCAAGCAAATATGAATTCTCTTGCTGTGGAGAAACAAGCACGTGGGGAGAATATATGACCTAAGTTGTCTGTAGTTTATTACCTGACCAGGCCGGGGATTTAGTTTTTCAAATTCTAGTAGTGTGTTTTTTCTGTTGAGCCAAAAAGCAGCACACCTCAGAGAAGAGAAAAGGTGTGAATTGTGAGTATATTGGGGTTATCAGTGTGCTTCTGAGGGAAGATAGGCATCTATTCCCAGAGATGCCCCTGGAAATGATACAGAATATGCTGAAGAATTCAACATGATGATTGAATGAGGCATTTGTAGTAATGCTGAAAACAGAAAAATAGACTAAGTGGAAAATTTGTAGGCATGTCTTTGTAGATTTGTTATGGGAACAAACTACCTAGTTTATTTTTAGTTCAATACAATATTAAAAACATGAAATAATGACTTAGTATAAAATGCATTTAAAACTCCTGTAGATCACTCAAAACTTCATTCCTTTTATAATGGTCACTAGTTGAGTCACTAATACTAGTACACTCTATTTCTGAGTCGTCTTCTCTATTCATATCTATATTGTGTGGTTAGGCAGCTGTTATGTGGTGTCACATGATAAAGGACTTCTTCCCATACCATTCATCAGGCCTACTATACTGCCTTTTATTATGTATAGGAGAGCACCTGGTAGCAGTGATGTCAGAAAATGCATGAAATTTAGATTCAGAAAACATGGGTTTAGATCTCAGGATCACCACTAGCCATGCCATCTTGGAATTGTCCTCAACTGTAAAACAGGTCATAATTACATTTAAAAGTAATTACTGTAGTAGGGACTGATGAAGTGCTTTACATGTATTAACTTGCTTAATACTTATCATAGGTACAAGGATAAGTAATTAGATGTATTTTAGAAGCACAGAGAGCATTAGTAACTTCAAAGTTTACTTAGTAAGTGTAGAAGCCTGGATTTAGTCCTGTAAGGTTATTTTCAGAACCTTTTGCTCCTAACTGCTACACTATGTTGCCTTTGTAAGATTATGATAATTAATGAGATGTCATGAAAACTGCCTGGGACATAGGCCAGGACTAGTCAATGTTCACTGTATGTGAGAATCACCTGTAGAGCTCTGGGAAAACTACAGATGTCTGCTATGAGAGGCTAGTGTAATAAGTCTGAGAGATTCCTGGGTTGACGGATTCTGGATCAGAGGTGTTTTAAAAATATTTAAGACCAGTGCCACCAGTATGGTACAAATTGCTGACCACCTGTGCAGGTGAAATAGCATTCTCTGGTCTAAAGTTTGTGAAAGATGGTAAGGATCAGGGAATAGACAGAAGAGTGATCTTGAAGGATTTTGAAGAAAGAAAGCTTTCCAGGTGATGGAAGGGAGAAGGAAAGAATTTCAGGAGATTCAAAGATTTGGGGATAAGGTCAGGAGAGGAGGGAAGGCGGTTAATAGGCTGGGCAGGAGACCCAGGATCCAGGGAATTGATCGAGGAAAGGCTCCCAAGAAGGGAGAACATTCTGCAGAAAAGTAGGTGCCTCTGGGAAAATTCTACCATAAATAAATAGGGTGGCTATGTAATTTTTTGCCCAAACGAAGACACTTAAAAAGGGACACCAATTACATAACCATAATAGGTATAATAGGCATAAACTGGAATGTCCTCAACAAATTAGGAGGTTTGATCATCCTAACTGCAGGAGGCACTATTGGAAGACTCAACGGCCACCTCCAAGCTGGATGTAACCATCTTATCTCCAACTTGTCAACATTTAGCATCTCATCATTACTCAGGAATGATTCCTATCTGTGCCAGATGTCTTTGCTTTGTTCCCAAATACTTGTGCATGGACATCACTCTTCTGTATTTACTCAATATCCTCAAAATACCCATAATCTCAAGAAAAGGAGAGTGGGGCCCTGAGCATGTAGTTTGAGGAGGCTTCTATACCTCAGCTTGGAAGGATTGAACTGAAGGGCTGGAAGCACCCTGAATTCCAGCTGTGCTTAAAGATAACCTGTTGGGTACAAGTTGAAAATATACAAGAAAAGAACAAGTACGAACAATTAAAATATTTTTATGCACCTCAAATAGCCATCACTGATTGCTTGATAACTATCTTGTCCTGACAAAGACCAATCTATAAAACAGCCTGAGAGAAGGAATGTTTTTTTTTTTTTTTTTTTA